ATTTATACTATATTTAAGAACCTCAACTACTATCTAACTTAAGAACTGGTATCAGAGGAGAAAAAGGAAAAAAGAAGAAAGGAAGATGGAGAAATAGGACAATAAATAGGTAAACATATCAAGTTTATGGCTCCTTGACTTCTGCTGGATTTCAAATACACAGTCCTTTCCCCTCTAGTCTTAAATATTTCCATTTCCATTCTTAACTGATTCAGAGTAAAAGAAAAGAAACTTCAAAATGCGAATTGGTTTGGTAAGATAGTAAACAAAATTGATATAACTCCAAAATGAGCTGTCAAATTCCCCCACCTAATTTTCAGATACATCCCATTTCTAAATAATGATTACACATGGAAGTCAAATTTTACAATGTAATTCTTCCATTATAAAAGCACCTGACTTTAAAGTTATTACACTTGATTCCTTTTCTTATAAAAATATCTTTTTTCATATGGGGTGAATTCAAAATGGAAGAAATACAAATCAGTAATTTCAAATGCTTCCCACCTCAGTGGTACCATAGATATTTTTGGAATCTTGGACTAGAACAAACCAGATTGCTTGATTATACAGTAAATGATTCACAATACACTTAAAAAAAATCTCAACTTTATTCTTTGGTAAAGAAAAACAGCTACCTTTTTTATAGACAGAATCATATTCTCCTAAAATCTACAGATTGAAGGCCAAATTTCCCAAGTGACAAGGTATAGAGGATCAATAATGAGGGAATAAAAATTAGTGAGGTAAGAGGATGGGACCTTAAAGCTGCAGAGCTGCTGAGATTTAGAAGTGAGAAAGAGCTCATCTGTGTGATGCAGAGAAGGGCCATTTGAAGACACCGCAAGAAAGGAAGCATGTACATGCCAGGAAAGGAGCCTTGCGAGAAACTGAAGTGGCCAGCACCTTGAGGCCTTCTAACCTCCAAAACTGTGATAAATGTATGTTGACGAAACAACCCCAGTTGCAGTCTATTACAGTAGCCTATGCAGGCTAAAGCAATTTCTAATGATGGAGCACTTATATTTATGGAATAGTTTCACTCTACTGATATATAGCTAAGTATCTGATAGTAACCAAGATGTTCCATTTATAAAAAGAGGAGCCTAAAACAATCTGAAGAAAACTCACTTCCTCTATCACTTCTATATACCTCTGTTCTTTTAAATAAAGCAAATGAAACTGTCACTTTAGAAAGGGCATAACATTATATTACTATGTAGTACCTCATTCCAAGAGTACAGTGGGCGATGTCAACAGAGAAGTTCTCTAAGGAGTCCAAATTAATTAAACTGTCATTAAAGAATAGTCACAAAAATCTTGAAGCAGAAAAGTATTCTTCAAAACGACTGCTTTTTGAAACCAAGAAGCATCTGCTCTACTTGATAAGGACAATTTCATTGGTATGTCTGTGTTTTTAACCTTGCCTCAAAATTATATAAAATTTGAATTTTTTTTTGCAACTTGATGTGAACTTCATTTTTATTGACTGTAAACATATCCTACATATCTACTTTTAGCCATCATCCTGTCTATTGGCTTCTAAATTTTCACTAGCAGAAGTAAATTATTACATTACAGAGTGATTAACATTTTTAAAGGATGCAGTGTTCAGTGGTAAAATAAAGCCACTTTCAATTTTTAGTAAAACTACAGATGAATGCATGAGTTCTTATACATTCAGGATATTTAAAAAAATTCTTTGCAAAGAAGGTTGTTTACATATAAATACTGTACACAAACATACTTTAGATAGACAAAAAGTGGCAGATATCTAACAGGTGTTTTTATTAGTACCAAGATTCTTGAGCTTTAACCAAAGTTTTTAAAGTTCTTAATGAAACATCAAAGATTGAATTTATGGGGTACATGTCATGTTTTGATATACATATACATTATACGATGCTTCAATCAGAGTAAGCATACCTAACTCTATCATTTCTTTGAGGTGAGAAAAATTTACACATTTGCTTATGTGTTTTAGCGAGGCACTGCATCAGCACTTGACATAATGACTTCATTTAGTTCTCACAATCTTACAAATTAAAGATGATTACTGTTATATTAAGATAAGAAAACAAAGTTTCCGAGAGGTCTACTAATCACCCAATTATTCTAATTAAAAACTTTTTAAATTCAAATTTCTCCAAATTAATAAAAGCTGCAGTAATAAAAACTATGCTGTCTTGTATTCTAACCTTCATATAACATACATATATGTGTGTTGTGTGTGTGTGTGCGCATTGCACTATCCGGGCTGCCTTTCCATTACATGACACTTCGCAGCAGCAATCATTGTCATTTTTATTGCGTCTCATAGAGACACTTACAGAAAAGGACTTGGAGAATTGCTCCAGAAAGTGGAGAGAATAATGGGGTTAATGTGTTCAAAGTGAAGGAAAGTATTTTGAGGAGGCTTAATGGCAATGTGTCTTTTACAGTAACAAATTTTTTAAAATGTAAACATTATACATTTGATTGGATCTGTGGGACACACATGCATACACACAAACATATATACATTTTTTAAAAGAAAACACTGTCTAACCATGTTCTCCTCTCTCAATCTTTGGGAATTATAAACTATAATAATATAAAAAGCATTGCTGACATATTAAAATGTCTGCATTCTTTATCTCTAAAATGATTCTTAAAACTGCACTTAAGCAGACAAAGGCATCTGGCTACCATTTTATCAGGTAAAATTATTGTATTATTGTAGAGAAGCAAAGCATCTATTTCTTATATCAATTAGGTAGTATAGTAATTTCTTCTATACTATAATAAGCTACAGAAATCTGAAGTTCTGTAACCTATTATACATAGGGAATAAATTATTGTGAGTATCATGGTTCCTTTCTCGAACTCTAAACATACTGCAGTGAGGGTCTACTGCATAGGAATTTTCATTCATTTAAAAAACTACTTATTAAACAATACTGTTTCTAAAATTTATACTAGAAACTTATAAAATATCCAGAAACTATCCACTCCTCCCTCCTTAAAACTTGTCGCAGATAAGTGTTCCATATAACAATATCGAAACAAGTCATGATCAAGTAATTTTACATGTTAAGCAGATTAATTTACTGCAAAACTTCTTGGAATCTTTATGCATTTTATGTGTACTCAGTGTCTCTAAGAACAGTAGATGGTATTCTGTGTATATTAGAGTTAAAATACACATTGTCCCTTCCTACCAGCCTTTCTCTATCCCACCCCACTTCAAGGCCCCTTCCATCCTAAAGCACAAGGGACTCTCTTTGGACAGTGAAATACGAGAAGCAGCCACATGTGTCACTTCTAAGCAGCCATTTTAAGATCTATGGTTCCACTACTGCTTTTTTTTCTCCTTTAAAACTTTAGCATTCCAAAAATGTTAAATTAAGAGGACACGAGCCCAGACACAGCTGACTCATCAGAAACAGGAACAAAAATGAGAAACTTCTTCTGACCTATACTGTATAATTAAGATTTGGGGACTTGCATGATAATAAAGTGTAACTTTGCCTAAGCTAACTGATATAACACGTTTCCTAGATTTAATAGACCCTGGTACCTTTTCATCAAGTAATGTCTTCCAGGAATTAGTTCCTAAATTGCAGTTGGTATTTTAGAGCATCTTTTCCATTTCTGAATACAGCAGTACCTCAGTTCAGGAATGCTTTTGTTTGCAAACAATGTGATTCACAAACAGAAGTTTCACAATTTTTTGTTTGCAAATCATGCATCAGGCAACAAACACATTCACAGTCATCTTTCCCCCACAAACATACATGTGTTCATCTTTTCCAAAATCTGAGAACAAATTAAGTTGATGAGTTTAACAGCCACTATATAGTAGAAGCACATAATCTTAACCATCTTCAACTAAGCTTTCACTTTAAAATTTTTCAACAATTTGAATTTATCTCAATTTCTGTTTATAAGCAATAAAATGAATTTTATTACAATAATCAGATTAACATTCAGAAATCACAGATCAAATGACTACTTAGTTGAGATACATTTCAGATTAATTTACATTTAATTGGAAAGTTAAACTAAGGAACAAGTTGCTTTCCCAAAAACTGCAATAAATATTATATAAATTTGCTCACTTTAATTCACACCACGTCTTTAGTCTTATAAATCACCAGTTCACCATGAAAGCATTTATATATCAGTATACCAATCATACATTTTATTCCAACACTGGGAAAAGTATGCATTTAAGCAACTAGTACTAAAACTAATTTTAAATGTTATAGTTATACTTTAACACAGATAAAAAGAGTTTTTTCCTAGAGCAACAATTTTAAAAACAACAGACATAAAAGGACAGAGTGAATTCTAGTTTGTTTTTTGTTTTTTGTTTTTTTTGCCCTTTTCCTTTTTATCAGTACCAGGGATCGAACTCACGACTGCCTGCTTGCAAGGCAGGTGCTTATGCCGCTGAGCTAAATCCCCAGCCCCAATTCTAGAGTTTTTAATAATTTTTCACTTGTATATGTTTTAAAACCTCAACTTTTTCTTCATTTTAACGTTTTCATATTATAAGTGGTTTATATAGTTAAAAACACTTTCATTATTTTTAGTAGGTTAGAAAAACTCCCTAATACATTGATATCAATTGATTTTTTCAATTAAAGCTAATCATTGTACAAAATTTGCTTCTGAGAAAATTAACCAGCTAAATATTTTTATGTAACCTTTACCCAAGACTAATAAATTTACTTTCACTAATATATACTTCTATGAAAAACCAAATCCGACATTTTGGAAAGTTAATTTTTAAAATGTCATGGTTTTAGAAGATTTAACTTACTTGAAGATGAAGATTAAAATTTCACTTAAAACTGCTGAGAAAAAAATATACAAATTTCACACTTCCTTGACCAGTGTGGAAGATGAATCCATCACATGGGAAAATGCTGAGATCAGCTCGGACAGCACATAGTTCCTGCCTGCCTCACTTCTTCTAGGTAAGTAAGGAAGATGCACCTCAGCGCAGTTCTTACCAGTCAAGTCAAGACTTTCCATTGTGTTTCAATGGAATATCAGAACCTCCAGCCTCTGTGATGCAGCAGGATTCTGTGAAAGACCCATAGCAAAGCAGTTATTATGGGGAGACACGAGGCCTTTCAAACAAAATTACAAAGACAAATACAATTTGAAGAGCCAAAATTAGAAGAGAAGAGTTGACCATTAATTTTGACAGCATGAGTTTAATTCTTTTGGTTTAAAGATCTGTTGACCCTTTAGTACAAGAAGTGAGCAAATGACATTCAAGAAATAAAAAATATTTTTCCTATATATAAAGATCTACAAGGAGCTCAGATAATTCTTATTGATCTTCAGATAACCTCATACATTTATTTCTATAATGGAAAAACATATCAAAAAAGACCATAATAATACTTCATTTTGATACTGTTCAGTGATCTATAATCTATGATACAGCTATGTGTGCATTAAAATGGGAAAGGAGGAAACAGACCAGCTCTGCTGTGGCTAATGTGGTTTTTTAAATTCTCTTAAGAAAACAAAGAAATCATGGGAGATTTAAGAAAGTGAGATCAGCCACAAAGCAGAAGTCACTACCCATGCTGAAGATGCTGCCTGAGACAGACTCCCTTTTGAGTTAACTGACAGCCAAATCTAGAGACTTGAAGTTTTATCAGTCTATTCTAAATGCCTATGAGCCGCTTCAGAAAAGCAATTTCAACGTTATTCTGATTTAAATTACTAGCATTTCACAAAATTTCTGCTTTGATTGAACTGTGTTGTTACCAGAGATGTAACAAGGTCAGCTGGACAAACCCACCCCGTCACCACTTGTTGCCTGCCTGTGTTCTCAGAGTACTTCCCTGCACACTGGTTTCTTCTCAATCCTTATCCCAACAGCCCCAGAATCGAACTCTTCGTGATTATCTTACTCTATTCGCATTAAAAACTTCCCTTTCCCTTTTCAAGGTCCCTGCTTCCCACTTGTAACACTGTTTTCCGTAGTCCCGGCCAGCCTGGACACTTGGTACAGCTCAGTATTCCTTCTGAAAACTTTCATAATGGGAAGTGTGACAGCCATCCATTAAAACCCACGACTTGCCTGTTGTCACAAGTAGGGCATCTGATTCAGCACCTGAAAAATCAATCTTAAAGATGTGCCCTAAGCAACCTCTAAAATATTTTGAAACAAACGGCTATCTGGCACAGCTCACAAAGCCTCTTTGGGGTGCAATATTTTGAAATGCTCATTATAGTAAAAAATAAAATAAAATGTAGGTGTTATTCCTTACAGTGAAGCAGACTCCTAACCCATGTTACTATCCCTTGTATCAAAGGCACACCTTGGTAAAATCCCCTTCTATGCCAAAACTATGTCTTATACTCTTATCACTACCACCTGATCAGTGCAGAAGGGATTCCAAGGTAACCATATCTTATTTACATGGAAGCGTATTTAATCTTCCCAAAAGACTGCTTTTCTGATGTTTTTATCAGTTCTCTAGGTAATACATTAAGCTTTAACTCATTTTCATACATACTCCTAATTTAATAAAGCTCACTAAAAAGTCATTCTGGCCTACAATTATTTGACAAGGAACAATTACATTCAAATGAAAAAAACTGATGAGCATAATATAATACATATAATATAGACATTTCTTTGTTTAAAGTACAAGAACAATAACAAAATAACCATATTGCTAGTAAATAAATTTTCTTCCTTTTTCTCCTGAAAATAGAATACTGACACTTTCACATCTCAAAAAAGGAGTGACCTGAGAAAGTGAATTTTTATATTTTTACTCCCAATGATGTGTATTCTTTGAACGGAGCTGAATTTCTAACCTAAGAGTCAGTATTACCTTTGTGAGCCATAGCAAGCCCAGATTACACTCTGGAGGTGCTAGTGTCTACAGTTCCGTTCACTTTTCCTCTAGCCTCTTCCATCTTTCCAATAATGTGTGTGCCCATTTGTACTTTACAATGCCTGTTTCCTTACAAAAATACTTGCTTTAAAACTTCTTTATATGAACATAATTCTTATGTTTTCCCTTAACTCATTCTTTTATATGTATATATACTACATATTTATACTACAAATGAACTTAAATGCAAAAGTTTTCTTACAAAAATATTTCCTATTTTAAAACTTCATATGAATCCAATACTTACATTTCCCTTTAATTCACTCTTCTATATAAACATGTTTATAAATGAGAAACAAACTCCAAGCTCTCTTATGTAATGTAATCACATTAAAAATACTGTCATGTTTACAGTCACTCCTCAACAGTCCCTTCAGATACACTGTACAATTTACAATATTGTAAATGATGCTGTTATACAAGCTGTTTTGCAATTTTAGCCAATGAATGACATGCCTCAGGTCATTGTGGCCCACCACAGGCCAGGTCCAAAAATGACAATCTGATTTCTAACCAAATTATTTACTGAACTAAAATACCTTCATAGAGATAAAGATCATTCCTTGAGAATACATCTGTGTGAGCATGCCTGTGCATAATGTGTGTGAAAATGACAACTTAAAGCATGAACAAAAACAGTATTATTTGTTAAAATCACTCACTTGTCTTCTATAGTTGAAGCTTAAATTAAAACAATTTCTTAAGCATTTCTGCCCAGGCACCAATATTTTAACTGAAATTACAAATATCAGCTATACTGATGATGCAAATCTTCAAAGTAAAATGTAAGTCTGAATTACCACTTTGTCACCTTCCCATTCTCACCTTTCTGCACTTCCTCAGGGCCCACAGCTTTTCAGTTAAGAATCATTAAGTGTAATAAAGGAAACACTGTCTTAGGAGTTCCTTTGATATCTAGCAGTAAGCCAAAGTAAATACTAAATAATTATATAATTATACAAATAAATAATAAATAATTATAGATTTGTTCATTTCTTTGGACCCTCCAATAAGGTGTCTGAAAACACCAGATAGCAAAGATAGAAAATTCTAGTATTTATTTTCTCATATTAGTCTCATAAAATAGGAAGACAGGGGCTGGGGATTTAGCTCAGCGGCATAAGCACCTGCCTTGCAAGCAGGCAGTCATGAGTTCGATCCCCGGTACCAATAAAAATAAAAAAGACAAAAAAATATATAAAAAAACAGGAAGACAAAAGAATTGAAAGTCCCCTCCCTTTTAATACTCAATACTGTAAAACATGAAATTATATTTTAAAAACTTATCTAACATCTAATATATACAAATAGAACAGCAGTGCAAATGATTTAACTTTTAATTAGTTAAGAAATTAATGTGTTGATATACAACCATGAAAGTATCATAATAGTAGTGCTACTTTTTGATGCTAATGATCTAGTTGAATAATCATATATAAGAAAAAATTATATCGCAACAAAGTAATACATAGTCATGTTAAAATTATAAGTAAAGGATTTTTAAGTTAGAATGCATAAAGCAAACATTTTGCAGGAAATGCATTAGAGCTGAAATTTAAAGTATGGATGATTTGAGGACACACAGGATGGAAAATGGTGTGAGAGGCACAGACACAGTAGGAACAAAGGTCCAAATGGGAACAAGTATTGCTTACCACAAGTATGCAGAGGCAGAGGAGGAACAGAAGATTGATCTGGCTGAAGCACAAACGTCACACGGAAAAGGAACACAAAATACAGGCAAATGAAAAAATGTCGTTTGCTCTTTTTTGTGTCCACACTCTCACAAAGTGCAGAATAAGGTTAGCAGCATACTAGTCCAAGCCTATTTCCCTTAGCAGGTACTATCCTGGAAATTGTGGGTGAATTCCTAAGCCTCTCGGAGCCTCTACTTACAAAATTGAGTTAATAATCCATACATTAGAAAGGGTTGCCCTAACAGTTACTAGAAGACAATATAAATGCTAAGTGCTTTGCATATAACAGGTGCTCAATGTTATTAATTTTATTAGAATTAAAACTAAGTGAATAAAATTATGCTGTGAACACACAGAAGTTTGCCTTGAATATTCTCAAAATTTGGATGCAGAATGAATTGCTAATCTCTCAAATAGTGTTTCACTGTAGATTTTATTTAAATTTAGGCAGCCATAATATATGTTTAATTCTGGCAGTCTGAGAAACCACTTTTTACTCAATGCACATTAGCTGATTTGATAATATGGGTATTTTATTATAATGACCATTTGCTGTAAGATCGGTGCTTCAAGGAGCATAGAAGAACCATGAATTTCTGCCATTTTCGTAAGTAGAGGTGGAAAATGAGTAGGCATTAGTCCAGTCAGATGGCTTGGCAGAGAGGCACTGAATGCCTCTTTTATGCTCCCATGAACTATGTAAATGTGCCTTTGACCTCTCAGGCAGAGAAAATTGCACATTTAAAGCAGAAGGAGTTTCACTCTGAAAAAGAGAATAAAAATATGCTTGTCAGCAGCTATGTGAGGAACAATGATGGAACCTCAGGTACTCTGTGAAGATTCATTAGCTGCATCAAGCCACTGAGCACTAAGCTGGAAAGCAAACAGGACTGCCTCAGCCTCAGGGGAACTCCTCTGAAACTACACATTTTTGGAGCTGGCCTGTACTCTCGGGAAGGGGTTATGCAAATGCACCAGAGAAACCTGAAGACCACCTTGTCCTCTGAAGAAAGCTCTGGCTTCATCCACATTATCAATAATTTACAAGATGTAAAAAAAAAAAAAAAAAATCCAGAGTTTCCTGATAAAGACGTAAGCAATCAGTAATTTACATCATCTTCCATGGGAAATATTCAGTTCCACAAAGTAAAAGACGTTGTTCTTTGCTCTTGTTTCCTTAATTACTATTTTAAGTTATACAAACAGTTTTTAAAAATATAAACTTATAATTCTAGAGCCGGAGATTCAGCTCAATGGCACAAGAGGCTGCCTGGTAAGCACAAGGTCGTGAGTTCGATCCCTAGTACATAAATAAATAAACAACATTCTGAAGTGTATGTTGTTTAATAAAAGTATATTTCTATTAAAAATTATATATATATATATGCATATATACATATTTTGGGGGCATGATGCTGGGCATGTAACCAAAGGTCTACACAAATGCTAGGCAAACACTTTA